TCATCATTTTATTTAAATTTTTTAATCTTCCCCTATGGATCCGGAAATCGGAAGGTCCATGTACTAAAAAAAATATAGACATTTTTTTTTTTTTTGAAAAAAAATCATCTACTACGTGGCAATTTTTGTCCCACCAGCTTCACAATGGCAGTTAATTTGACGCCGTTAATTTAACAACCTTGGCTCCGTCACCCCTACACTCTACGTTACCGAATTGTGCAGTTCCCTTCATTACCAACATTAATCGCTCTATCTGATCACCATCTCCGAACAAGAAAACGAGTAGTTAAAGGTAGTAAAATCGAGTGCTAACAATGGAAACTCTTCGAATTTCGTTATCGACCAACCCAGAGACGATGACGAAGCTGAACATTGTCGGCCGGTGGCTTTTCATGGGAAGACGAAGCTTGAAGCCATTTTCAGCTGGCCGCGTGTTTTCCTCAGCCGCCAAACAATGGAACGGCGGCGTTTCGATGGTTCAAGGCGCCTCCAGAGGCATCGGCCTTGAATTTGTGAGCTCTATTTTTTCTCTTCCAGTATCTGTTAGTTTCCATTGTCCTGTAAAAATCAGAGGATTTTTTGAAAAATCAAAATCAGGACATTTTTAGGGTTTTGTTTCCGCTTAGTGCGTGTAATTTCAGTTGCTGGTTTCTCATTGAAGTGTTTGGTTATGTTCTTGTCACAATTGGTTTTCAATTGCAGTAAAATATGGGAAATTGAAGTTATTGATTGATGAATGTGATTGGAAAATTGGCTTCAATGATTTGGCTGTCATTAATTTTCCAGTTTCAAGCTCATTTGTGGGTTGATTGATTATTACAGGTTACACAATTGTTGGAGAGAAGGGACAAAGGGTATGTCGTGGCAACGTGCCGTAATCCTAATGCGGCAACTGGGCTTCTCGAGTTGAAGAAGAAGTTTCCGGAACGTTTAGATATTCATCAGCTGGATCTCACGGCCGATAGCACAATAGAGGTTTATTTCACATTCTCGAGACTTGGGTTCGTTTAGTTTATAGATAACCTATTTTTCAATAGCTGCTGTTTAGTTTAGAGTTGTTCGCCTTTTGTGTACCCAATGCAGCTTTTTACGAAAGATCATTCTATTTGTCCTTTTCCGTATGTTCATTTTCTGCTTCATGTTCCTCATTTTTCGAAAAAAAAAATGATTTTCAGGCAACAGCAAAGGCAGTCCAAGATAAGTATGGGTACCTAAACCTTCTCATAAATGCATCGGGCATTTTATCGATACCCAATGTTCTGCAGCCAGGTAGAGAGATGTCCACTTAGTCGTGTGTTTTTTTATGATGGTGAAATAATGTGTGACGAAAGCTATATACAACATAAATGTTTTTATACTGAAGTGAATAGACTTCTTTTTTCGTGTTTGTTCAGTACAGAAACCACATTGAACAAAGTTCAGAGGGCTTCCTTACTTGTGACCTATGAGGTCAATGCCGTTGGACCCACTTTAGTTGTGAAGGTATGATTAGTTATCTTCAATTGATGCATTTGTGTTGTAGTGAAAAAATAAATAAAATAAAGAAAAACTTCATAGCATGAGTTCAATATCATACATGCGTGGAGTTTTTTGGTAGCTAAATTGGACTCTAAATAAAAAGATTCTTTGGCATCACTTGCATTGTGTGATATGATTAAAAGATTAATGACAATCCAAGCAATTCTGATTTGCATGATAAAGCATATGTGGCCCTTGCTGAAAAAAAGAAAACTTCATAGCATGAGTTCATATGTTATACATGTGTTTACGGAGTGTTTTGGTAGCTAAAATGAACACTAAAATATAGACAAAACTATTCTTTCTTCGGAATCACTTGCATTGTGTGATTAAAAGATTAATGACAAATCAACACGATTTTGATTTGGATGATAAAGCATATGTGGCCCCTGCTGAAGACTGGAGGCTGTATTGGGACCGAGCGAGAATCTGCGATTGTTGCTAGCATTAGTGCTAGAGTAGGGTCGATTGGAGATAATCATCTCGGAGGTTGGCACTCGTATAGGTCATCTAAATCTGGACTTAACCAGTGTATGTTTTTTCTTTTGCTTTTTTTTTTTCAATTGTTTTTTTGGCATGTTAGTTCTTTATAACACTCAACACATAATCATGTAGTGATGAAGACAGTATCTGTGGAATTTGCGCGCAAGAAAGACCCTATCGTGTGCATTCTTTTGCATCCGGGCACAGTGGACACGGATTTATCGAGACCATTCCAGAGGAATGTTCCGGAAGGCAAACTCTTCACGAAAGAATTTTCAGTCGAGAAGCTACTGAGCATCATTGATAATGCAAAGAAATCCGACAATGGCAAGTTTTTTGCGTGGGATGGTGAAGAGATTCCATGGTGATTTGAGAGACGAGCAAAAGGATTACATACACCCTGTTTCATTGTAGGACAAATTAATTAATATTATATTTAGGCTTAATTACAATTGTTACGCTTAAACTTGCCTTTGTATTTCTGATGAAATTCGAAAATGTGTATTTTGTTACTTGATGTTGATCGTTTTTCATATTAGCTATAAGCCGAGCCATTCAATGATGCATTGCGAGCTTGTGATCGATGTGATGCAAATTGGCTTAAAGAAGACGATATGCATTCATTCAAATGCATTGTGAAACCATTTGATTGGAAATGAAGGTTGAATTTGAAAATACGACTCACATAAAGTACATTTTAGATCATTTACATATTTATTATATTTTTTAAAAAATTTGCATATATGCAATCGTTCAAAATAAAATCATAAATAAATCATTTAATAGCGAGTCATTTTTTTTTTGGTACAGGGACCTTCCGGTTTCCGAATCTACAGGGGAACCGACTAATCTGGAATCGGATTAGTTAATAGCGAGTCATTAACTAAAAAACAATGCAATTTATATATTAGTAACAAGATTAATTAGGTCTACTGTGATTTATTCTTCCAGTCTTCACATTTTTATTTGGGCCGACTTTCCAAGTGCTAGATATTTTTGGGTTTTACTAAAACAGCCCAAAACTTATTAGGTTTTGGTTCGATATCTTTGCCAATGGTACTACACAATAATGCAAGGAGTCGGAATGTACCACCACCTTCAGCACAAAACCCCACCCCCCATATTTCCCCTCAGTCTCAGTCCTCAGTCACCGGCGCTGCGGCTCTCCCTCCCGGTTTATTCGAGATTGTTGAGACTGAGAGTCAATCATCATAGCTTCCTGACGATGGACGGCGGTGGGGTGGACTCCGACGGCCGCGCATTCACGAGCGCGGAGGAGATGTGGCGGGAGGAGGTCGGCGACGGCGACCCCCTCAAGAAATCGCAGTGGTACTCCGAGGGCGTGGGTTATTGGGAGGTATTATGCGTAGCCCCTTCTTTATGACAATGTTGGCTATTCTGTTCTGCAATTGTTTTGGAAAATTATTATTTTTTTTTTTTCGTGCTTGTTTTTGGAAGAGAAGAGCGTTGAGCCGACGGTGAACGGAGTTCTTGGAGGGTATGAGAATGTAAATAAACCTGATATTGAGGGTAGTGAGGGATTTTTGAAATCCCTCTTGGATGAAATGTTTAGTGGTGCTGGCAATGGCAGCAGACCTCTTGTTGCTCTAGGTAACCTTTGTCTCTGTGTGTGTGTGTGTGTGTGCGCGAAAATTATTCTTGCATGGATTGTAGATTTTTGTTTGGATTGTAATACATCGTGACAAATCAAATTGTTTTCTTAACTCGTTGATGATTTGGATTATTGGGATTTATGATACATGGTCTTGTTTCTTAACAACTTCTGCAGATTGTGGTTCTGGGATAGGGAGGATCACCAAGAACCTTCTGATAAGATATTTTAATGAGGTACTTATTTATTTGCAGTAAGTACACTTATATGTATTCAATTTAAATATCAATATAAAGTTTTGGTCTCTTTTGTTTTTCTACCAAGAACCTTCTGGCACTACTTATGCTTTTCTACCTGTATATAAAGTTACGATCCTTTATAGTGAATTTATGTTTCTTGAATTAAACTTCATTTTATTTTGGTAATGATTGAATATTCTTGTTTCAATCCAGGTTGACCTGCTCGAGCCCGTTTCACATTTCCTAGAAACTGCTAGGAGCAATTTATCACCTGAAAATTCGATGTTCACGGATGAGCATAAAGCTGTCAACTTTTTCAATGTTCCACTTCAAGTAAGACGGTTGATCATTATAGTGAAATGTACTTGTTTGGGCTATGAACCTTACCTTATTATTCGAAAAAATGCTGGACCACAGGAGAAGGGGGGGTTTATTTCGAGTCGAATATTTGGTTCACCTGCTTTTTGAATCTTATTCCCCTTACTAGGTGGGGTGGTAAAAGATACACGATATAATTTTTCTTTAAGAGATAAATAGTAGGGTAGAAATGTTGCAGCCTACAATCAACTAAGGACGGGCTTTTGTTATTTAATCTCATATGATTTTGAAAGAACAGCTATTTTAAGTATCTTCCCTGATGTAAGTTCATGAAAGAAGTTCCCGAATTATGGCTGTAAATGGGGAGTGTATTTTTTTATTTTATTCTTATGATTCTTTTTTTGTTCGTTCCTATTTGTATTATACAAGCTGTGCTGGGCTAGTTTCGTTTGTTGATTCAGAACTTGGGTCACATTGCTTCTATTGAAAGCCGAAGATCTGCTGAATTGCATCCAATTGAATTTGCTGTTGACTTGCATCCTTGTGACAGGAGTTCACTCCTGAGTTACAAAGATACGACGTTATATGGATACAGTGGTGTATCGGCCATCTTTCAGATGATGACTTCGTCTCCTTTTTTGAGAGAGCAAAGGTACATGTCGAACAGATTCTGTTATATTGGATATAGCAGACCCGTTGCAATTTCAATTTTTTTTATTTAATTTAATGTCATTTAGTCTTTCCCTGTAATAGTTCATTCTCACCGCTCAGTAGCTTTTGACTAGTTTAACTGATATGAATGTGTCTCGTTAACTCATAAGTTCTCTAAAAGCTGAGTTAGTATATGATCTTTGAAAGCCATCTATAAGTCTTCATATTATGATATTGTTGTTATCTTATTATCCTTTTTGGCCTCCTGAACAAAGACCATGTTAGATCGACTTACTAACTGTAGACTCTGATGTTAATGTTCATCAAGATAATTACCCCCTTTTTCTCCGGCATTTTATGATTAAAGTCTACGCTTACAATTAGGGTTTTATTTGCCTCTTCAGCTCGCCCGGTTTGATCAATCTATTAGCTCGAGTTTACCCAGCTCGATTTGAACCAGGATTGATTATACGATCAGGTCAAATGGGTTCGGGTTTGGTCAAAAGGGTCCGGGTTTGATCAATCATTTTAACGAATTTTATTGTGAACCAAAATTTGGAAAAAAGAAAAAGAAAAATGATATTATATCTGTCTGCCTGTCAAACTAGCAACAGATGTATGAACACCACAATCTGATTGTATGGTTAATTTTTTTTCTTTCTGTGTAAATTAAATTACAGTTTGAGTCGTTTATCGCATATTAAAGAAAATCTTTTGACCATTTGTGATGTATTTTTATATGTAATGCCAACACTTACCTCTTTCAGGGGGGTCTCAAACCTGGTGGCCTTTTTATTCTGAAGGAAAATATTGCGAGAAGTGGTAAGGGTTCTTCTGGTCATGCCTATTTAAAAGCTTCTCAAGTTATTAATCATACGTTTCGATTTTCCCCTTCAAATACACAACATATTACCATATTTTCATTTCGTTCGAGCTGAGCTGATTTGAAGTTCTTGCGCTTGAGTTTTTTTATTTTCTATCTTCCTTCAAGGTTTTGTTCTGGATAAACAAGACAAGAGTGTCACGAGATCAGACTCGTACTTCAAGCGGCTCTTTCAAAAATGCGGACTGCACGTCTATAAAATGAAGGTAATACTAACTTTCAAATCGTGAAATGTATGTGTTATAAGTCTTATTTGTTTTGGACGATATTCATAGGACAAGTTACGTCTTGCTAAATATGTCGACAGGATCAAAAGGGGTTGCCCGATGGATTATTTGCTGTAAAGATGTATGCATTGACAACCGAATTACCGAAGAGAGTGATCAAAAGTTCAAGAACCAAGAAACATGCCAACAGACCTGCAATTATCAAATGAAATACATAACTGTTTTATTTTCTTGGATTTTTTTTTATTTTCTATTTTTTTGGTTTTTGCTTGTATTCTAGCTCTTGCAGATCCTTTTTTTTTGGTTATTTTTATGTTACAAATATAATTATGTACTTTTTCAGCTCATTTTGTTGCTCCTAGACAGTTTATTTAAATGATGAACTTATGTTTTGATTTATTTTTAACTCTGGATTTTGAGAAAAAAAAATAAAAAAATAAATAATGGGTATATATAATATGATAAAATAAATTAGAAGAAATACGGGTAACAAATTCCTAGTATTTCTGCTAGAGGCTCATCCATTTCCAACTAATTTGACTGAGTCTAAGTTGACTGAGCCTTTTAACGTTAATACTAAGGCAGTTACTACTATCAACTGTCTTATCTGGAAGTTGAGCCTTTCACATTTGATTTTAAAATAAACAAATAAATAAATAAATCAATTTTTACAAATTATACAATCAAAAAAGATTGAAGTGCACAAATTAGCACTTAGCAGTAGAATTAAGGGGAAATACTAAGCTCTCCTTACGGAATTATTTCGTCAAAATTTGTAAATCATTATGTATAGTTGATCTAACCGTTACGAACCTCGACGGAATGGTTCCGTAACGAGACCGTAGCATTTCCAGTTGATCGTTATTAATTATCAAAAAAATTACAGAACTTTAAAACAGATGCAAACGGCTCAGCCATTATTAATTGTGATTTGTGCATTAATCTGATGACCCTAAATGAACGAATTATTAATCATGAATGATGCAGTTTCTTCAGTTTTGCTGGATTTTTATTTATAACAAATTTAAGAAAAATATTAAACACACGCAATTAATCTAAACTTGTGATTCTAAATAAAAACAAAACAAAAAATAAATTAAAAAATAAATAAAATCCTATATCCTTGCAAATGAGAAACTTACAAGAAAAAAGGACCAACATTGAAAGAAACCTCACAACATCCTAGCATCTAACTAGGATACAACAAAACTAACATGAGGACAAATCAAATAACTAACTAACACATAACATGAAAAAAAGAACTAAAAAAAGGAGACCAAAGGCATGAAAAATTGCCTTCACTTCACCTTCAAACTAGTTAAAACTTAAACTCCTCATGACAATGCATGAATAATCAATCACAATCAAATCAGTGCTGTTCTTGCTTCACCATTGAAACCAACTGAGGATTGCATTCCACCATTTGTCGATCTTCGACAATCTCGCGAACAAAATTCTTCGAGACGAGGCATTTTTCCGAAGAGTATAGCTTTTCTTGTATCAAGCAAGACTCAAGAAGAATGTCCATAGCTTCTTCACCACTTTCCAACATTGGCTCCTCCTCATTTTCCTTTCAAAATTACATAATAATAACAAATGTGAGAACAATATTCACTTAAAAAAAGAAAAAGGAAAAAGAAAGATGCTAAAAAACTAATTAATTACCTCATGGTGATGATCATATTCATATGAAGCAGCAAATTCAAGAATCCCCACTTGAGCCTGCAAGAACTTGATATACTTATAAGCAGCTTGCAGCATTTCAGCAGTGTTCATTCTCTGCCCGCCGGGGACTAATTTTCCGAGCTCTTGAGTCTTCTCGGTTATTTTCCGGCGCCTCTGCCTGGCGGCAATGCTCTGCGCCGACACTCCTCCGGCGGCGGGCCTGCCGGAAACAACCGCTGTGCCCGCCGTAAAATCAGGCAATGCCGCCGGAAAGAACAAACTTTCCGGCTGCTGCAAAACGTAGTCTTGGACGAGCCCGGGAACAGAATTCGGGTTTTGAACGAAAAAATCAGGCTCGTTGATCACGAACGGGTCGTAAAAGTCCGAGACCTTTTGGAGTTTTGTCGGGTAGGGATTAGTATCGTTCGAGGAGAAGTCGAACGGCGATGAAAAGGGGTCGGATAAAAAATCGTTGGGTTCGAATAAATTGGGATCATAATCAAGAAAGGCTTGAACTTGGTCGTAATCTTGTTGGATGCCGGTTATCGATGGCTCCGAGTAGAAGTAGCTTAAAGCAGCCATTGATGATGAAGAACCAAAAAAAACCCTGCAAGGAAAAACAAAAATAAGGAGTTCAGTTAGCTAAGCTAAAGAAGAAAAAGAGCATTAGAGAAATTTAATGAATTGAAACAGACAATGTAACTGTGTGTGTGTGTGTGTGTGTATTGGGGTGCATAAAAATGTGAACTTTGATCAAAATTAAGGTTTAGAAGTGGGAAATATAAGGAGGGAAAATCAAATTTGTAGAGTAGAGTAAGAACATTTTTATTTACCTTAGGGAGTTTACTTGCTTTTGTCTTCTTTTACTACAGAGAGTCTTGAATATCAGTGGACCTCTCTAACAGTAACAAGACTGAAAATTGTTTATTTTTAGAGAGAGAGAGAGAGAGAGAGAGAGAGAGAGAGAGAGAGAGAGAGAGAGAGAGAGGACGTGGGTAAAAAAATGGAAGTTAATGGATTGGAGAGGATAAAGTAATTTGGTCATAAATAAAGGATTAAGGGGGTAACTAACTCCCATATTATTAGGAGGGCATAATGAGCTTTTAGGGTTATTAATTGGCGGCTAATTTTCTCACTCTATAACCGTTGCTTCACCTTCAAGAATCCCTTTTATTTATTTAATTAATTATTTATTTATTATTTGTTTTATTATTTTTTGGTAAATTGTTTCCTTGTAGTTGTGCAGCCATTTTTTCTCTGTACTTTGCTCAAATATAACATTATCATGTACACTGTCAACTTTTAGTTTTGTATGAACAAAAAAAAAAAAAAAAGGGAAAATCTTTGAAGATGAATAGTGTAATATAATATTAACTGGTTGAAGTGTATAGAAGGTTATATTATTACAAATTATATTATATGCAATGAAATGTAGGATGCAGTTCAAATATGAACCGAGCCGTATGTATTGCAAGAACGCGAGAATGCTTGTTTTGTGTATAATGATAATTTTTGATATTATGTTTCATGATATTATTAATTGTAACTTTTTTTAGAAACGATAAAATTGCATATGTACATTGTATATTTGCTTTAAATTTATAGCATTACTAGTAGCATAAAATGATAATAAAAATTTCATGCACAACAATTATAAATAATATCATATACGATTGGTTTCCAAACTAGTGACCACTACTCAATTGAATTTGATATATGGAAATCAAGAACTTAACTAGAATCTAGGTTAACAATTTCATAACTAATTTTGATAGATAGCAATAATATATATATATATATATATTATATATATAATAATTAGGTTAAAGTTCAAGGTGGTTTTTTTTTTTTTTNTTTTTTTTTTTTTTTTTTTTTGTGATTAATGCAAAGGAAAATGTGAAAATGCACCAAATATATGTCTTTCTTGGGCTTGCTCTTTCATTAAAAATTCTTGTAATTTTTTAAAAAATAACATAAATAAAAGTATAATATTTGCTAATGTGAGTATGAATTATTGTGTTTAAAATTTTGTGCTTTACTATAAAAATAAAAATGGCAAGAAGGAAAAAAGTTTTTAACCCTAGGGAAATATTAATCATTCTGTCGGGATTGGTAACCATTAGATTATCATGTAATCGTCGGGAATAGTCGATCTAATAGTTACAAATTTTGACAAAATAGTTCTGTGACAAGATTGCAGCATCTCCCCGAACTTTAACCGATGCAAAAACGTTTGAATCATGAGATACGTTTTTGGACCCTCAATGAAATGCTTTCTCTCTCCAAGAATTTCAATCAAACACTCTGGGAAGTGTTATCTGAAGCCCCATAAAGATATTATTATCTATTCATCAATGGATAATCCATTGCTGTAGTAATCGAAGGTGGAGGAGCACCCGAGATGCGTCTCTACACGCGCCTCCGCGCATCACCGTCTCCGCCGCCTATCCGTTTCTCTCTCGGCCCTCGGTCAAATTTAGTGCATTTGAACTTCCCCAATAATTTCTTGCCTAGTTATGCCAAGCCCATCCCCAGAACTTCGTTTTACTGTAATGGGCTCCGGCCATTTTCGCATACTTACAGCGCAACAGGTTTTCGTTTACTCGTTAGTCGTTATCTTCCCCAATTGCTTAGCTTCGGTTGTGTATTGCCCTAAAGCTTACATCTTTTCCCTTAGCTGTGGTTATATTGCTCTAAAACTGATGTGTTTGTTCTTAACTCTGGTTTTATTGCTCTGAAAGTGAAATCTTTGTTCTTAACTATGGTTATATTGCTCTAAAAAGTGAAATCTTCTTACTTTCTGTTAATTTTCTAGGTGAAATCGAAGCTGATATGGCTGTGGCAGAGGAAGAGAATACTGATAAACTGAGAAGAAATCTTGAGGCTGTGGGATTAAATGCTGATTGTTGTAGGCCGGGACAGTATGATATAGTGTATTGTCCCAAGGTATTTGTTTTATGTTGAACATTCTTGCTTTATGCTGTGCAATTCGGTTCAATTGATTCTTAAAAAGCTCGATTTTTTGTACAACTTAGAAAAATCGGGGAGGATTGATTAAAAAAGATGGGCACTTGGGCATCTGCAGTTAGCTCTTTATACACTTTCAGAATGTATACGATTTAGTATTTACGGATTTATCGATTTATGGGTTGTTTTCTTGTTGAATTGGGTCAGTGCGAAGGTGGGCAGCCGATACATAGAAGTCTCTCGGTTTACATAAGTCAAGACTGGTGAGTGATGTTCTTTTTTCTCTTTTTTTTCTTCTTTTTACCTTAATTTAATTATCATCTATCAGGAGCTATGCAATATGGAGGTGTTTTCATCTACAATGTGGATGGGCGGGCAAGGTGCCGTGACATAAGGGTTTAAATTATTACTATACCATCTCGTTTGAACCTTAAAAGTTCTATTCCTTTCCGTATAAACGATAACTTTTAACTGCAGGTTTTTGCTGATACCAAAAAAGCTAGCCCGGGGGAGAGTATAAAGCTAGAGAAGCTGAGTGATGAGGTTCCGTTTTATTACTACTTTTTTTATTAGCATATATTTTTCTTACCTCTTATTGACCATTCGCGTGTATGACTTACAATCGAACACATATTTAGCTGATTTAAAGATGTTAAGAGGATGCAAAGTTCCAAGCTTTATGGTTTTGACAAAACATATTTGCTTCATTTTTTTCTGATATGAACCCTTTTGCAAAAATTGTAAGCTCTGTGTTTTTCTCTATTGGTTTTTTCAGTTGCTTGCATATTTTGCCGAAAGGATGATATCAAAGGAAACACTGGAGAGAAATAATGTTATGCAAGCTGGTGATTGGGTGAGAAAGAAAGCACCTACTTTTTGAATTATCGATTAGTCTATAGTATTAGGATTTTGTATGAGGCCAAATGGTTATTAATAACATGAGACATCAGTATTTCATTAAAAATGGTCATATAACCAATATATATCTGTCCTTATTTAATATTCATGTGTAGGATTTTGTATAATGGGTTTCCGAAAAAACCGTAAGTATTGCAGTTTGTTTTGGTCCAATGCAGAAAACCATTGCCTTTCCGTACAGATTAAATTGGGAACTCGTGGGCTGTAAGTATCGAACACTTGAAAAAAAGTTTTGGCAGGTGCTTTCCCTTTTTTTATCTTAGGATATTGATTTTTATTATTTCAAATTTATTATCCCGAATATTTGAAAAGAAATATGCATTTATTTAATCTTTCAGGAAAAGAATACGGAGAAAGTGCTTTACGGGCTTGATGACATAGCTGATTCGGACGAGATTATAATTGTAATTTATTCTATTCACTTACTGTCACTTTTGATTAAGGCTCATCTCCATTTTCGTGCCTGATTTTAGTTTTTTCGGCTAATTTAAGGTTGAAGGTGAAATAGACAAATTATCTGTTGAAGAAGCTGGTTTTTTCAACTGTGTTAGTGTTCCAGGTGGCGCACCACAAACAGTTTCGCTCAAAGAGCTTCCATCTCCAGATAAGGTTTTTAGTCGAGGGCATTTTATTAATTGTCCAATGTTTGTATTTTATTTATTGGTATAAAATTATAAATGCTTAAATTCTAATTTCATCAGGACACCGGCTTTAAGTACTTATGGAATTGCAGAGAGTATCTCGACAAGGTTAGAGCTAAATCTTAATACATATGTATATATATGGCATATATTGGACGATATATAATACATATATTATGTATCGTTATCAGGCGACTCGAATTATACTGGCAATTGATTGTGATGGACCGGGCGATGCTTTAGCTGAAGAGCTTGCTCGTCGGCTTGGAAGAGAGAGGTTTATTATCACTTATGAGCATAATTTGGAGCGTATAGACTTATTTTGTGAAATGTTTGGCAAAATTGCATTTAAGTCCTCCTGGTTGAATGCAATCATAACAATTTTAGTCCCAATGTTCGAAAATATTGTCTTTTGGTCCGTAATTTAATAGGACTGAAATTGCAACAAAATATTAAATTATAGAACTTAAATTGCTAATCGGAAATCTGGGAATTTGAGAATTTGTTGCAATTTAAGTCCTCAAAAGATTGAATTGCAGCAAAATATTAAATCACATGACCAAACGGCGAAAAGTTGGAACCTTAAGATTAAAATTGCTATAGCGTTAAACTAACAAGACCAAAATGCATTTTTGCCGAAATCTTTTCAACTTCACTCTCATTTTCCTTTTCGTTTATGTATTTTTCTTTTTCGGTTTCTGGTGGATCTTAGATGTTGGCGAGTACATTGGCCCAAGAAAGGAGAAGGCAGCTTGCTAAAAGATGCAAATGAGGTCTGATATACATTTTATGTTGTTGTTGTTGTTGTTATTATTATTATTATTATAAATGATTAGTGCACATTCTGCTTACTAATCTTTTATGCTGTGATCATTTACTACTCGATTTTTATTTAGGTCCTCGTGAATCTTGGCGTGGAAGCTCTAAGAGATGCGATAAAAAATGCAGAATTATATGACGCGGATAAGATGAGTAATTAGCCGGTAAAAATCACTGGTTTTTTACAGAATGAGAGTGATTTGTTGTAATGTGATTCTTAACAAGACGAGCTTCTGACCGATCATTCTGAATCTGAGTAACGTTTTCGAAAAGTGAACGTTCGATTGTGTTCTGTCTGTGGATGGATTACAATATATGAGGGATTTTGGATCATTTTACTGATCAGTGTTACTTTTTTTTTTCCCTTAATTATTCATGTTACTATTACTGTTATTATTATTATTATCTGTGTTTTAGCTAATTTTGTTGTTTTGTGTTAGTTTGCCAGTGTTTGATTGAGTAGACAATTTAAATAATAAACGCAATGTAACTTAATAAAAAAAATGTGGATTATTGGTCTATGCTCTCGGTTTTGGACCTTTGGTGGCTTTATAATATTTACCGTTTAATTTAAAAAATATCACAACAATTGTGCTCTTCGAGCCTTTGCCAAAATCACAAAAACTAGCTTATAGCATATAAGTAATTTTCGAGCTTATAGCTTATAGATGAAAAGCTAACTTATATGATAAAACTGTTTGGTAAAAAACTAGCTTATATGCTAAAAGTATTTGGTAAAATTAATTGATAAGCTAGTCGAAATACAAATTCAACTAATTCATTTAAAAAGCTATCTAAAGAAGCTTAAGTTTTTTAAAAAACTCAGTTAAGTTATTTGAATACAGAGAATCTGTAAGCTAATCAAATAAGCTATAAGCTAGTTTATTTGTCGACGAGACCAAACATAACAACAAACATAACTATAGCTTTTACAATAAGCTCGAACCAGCTTTTATTTGTGAAAATTGGTTGTATTTTAGCTCAAAATATAAAACTGACCCCAAGGCCAAGGCACTGGCAGGTCATCCCTAAAACCCTTTGAATTTTCTCCCCTTTCTCCATGGAAATTCAGAGCCCTCTTCCTTTTACTGCTCTCTATTGAAAACCCAGAAAAAAAATATTGAGAGAGAGCGAGCAGTCATGCTTCTTTCACCACAGCGGAAACTATTCCTGAGCTCACACTCAAATTGCAGCAAAGTTATTTTCATGGCCGCCAAGGATTTTCTGCTGCTCAAGTCCTCTCCCGCTCCGCACGCGCGCGTGCTCTCCCTCCATTCTTGTTCGCAGACGCGCTGCTTTCGCTCCAATAGCAGGAAAAATCTCTCCTTTTTCGCTAATTCGAGACCCTTTACTGCAATTTATCAGAGGGCCGCCGCTGGATATGGTTATACCTCATGTGCAGCCAAGCCCATTCCCCGACCGAGTAAGTGTTCATCATTTTTCGTGTGCAAATATTTTGAAATGCAGAGTTGAATATTATAATCTTTCAGAAAAAAAAGCCAGAATTTTGAACATGAATAGGATTTGCATTGCTATATAAATGTTGTTTAGTGTGGGTGTAATTTAACATAGAGTTTGTAAGTTGTAAGTGCTTATATTGTTTGATTTTTGCAGTACCTGGTGTTGGTGTGGAGACTCTTGAGTATCAACCTGTAGATGAAGGACAGCTTATCATATTGAGGCGAAAATTGCGTGAAATCGGGATTGAACCCGAACCTTGTTTGCCAGGGCAGTACCATGGCTTATTTTGTCCAAGTGTATGTGGTTCTTCTCACTTTTGGCTTATTTCTAAATCTGTTTTTGTTGCTCTAGCTTGAGTTTTGGTGTTGATATCAGTTAACGAATCAAATTGTTACTTTCATGTGCTCTGGATTTTTTGAGTATAAGTTATAACTGGTTGTGTAGTATTAGTTATCGTTTTGATGAGGGACTTCGTATGATGATTCAGATTGTAGAATTGGATAAAAAGATTCTAACTTTTTTTTTTCTTATTTTCTTTCAAGACCATATTCTTACTCTGAATCTAGTATGTGAGTTTTATCCCCATTCTGTTGAAGTCACAGGCTGTATTGGTTTTGTAGTGTAAAGGTGGGGAGTTGGAGGAGAAGAGCTTATCCCTTCTTATTGAACCAGACGGGTGATTTCCTATATTATTCTCAATATTTTGTTGTCTATTTTCTGTTAAATTTTATTTTTATTTTCGTCGCTTTTGGGGTTTTGTAGGGGGGCAGCAGTTTGGACTTGCTTTCGAGCTAAATGTGGGTGGACAGGCGCTACCCGAGTAAGTTTCTAGATTAAATTTTGCTAAAATTTGGACTATTGATGGTATTTTCATTCGGTTGTGCTACTTTTTTTTTTTTTTTTTTTTT